TTGTTTTGCATTTGTTATGTACTACAGCAAGTAGATATGTATAAAATGAAATAAAAAAAAATTTAATTTTTTGTGATTGGTAAGGATCGAACCCGCAAACCTCTTAAGCCGAAAGACTGGGAAAATGAATTTCTAGATATGAATCAGGAAAAAGATCACTTGCGGAACTTCAACGTTTAGTACTGCTACAGCAGTTTTAAAAATTCACTTGTTGCAAAATCCATGTTTTCACTAGTAAAACGCATAAGCTGCTTTACATATCTACATCTAACTCACGGCTATCACAGTGCGTTTTTCTATCATAAACATAGCCAAGACTTAATGACAACTTAACTTTGGCCTCCGTCACTAGAAAGCTAGCCTGCCTACCCCTAGCTTAAAAATAAGAATATAATGTTTTTTTTTTGTGATTGGTAGGGATCGAACCCGCAAACCTCTTAGATCAACGACTCACGCTACTCCCACTACGATACAATATCATACAAAAAATCAACATATTACTCCAACTGTAAATTAAACGTTTTGGTGATTGGTAAGGATCGAACCCGTGAACTTCTGGCTCATACACAGTCTCATACACAGTCAACTACTAGGAAGAAACATAAATTCAGACCACCCATCATCCCAAGAGTACATAACATCTATGAAATGTAAATTTAACATCCAACATTTTGGTGGCCTTTACAAAGGCCATTTTTTTTATACTCAACGGTAAAGTTACACTTAAGCCTTCTTTCAGTTGTTTTTAACATTGGATACATGAATTATCATTTGTTTTGCATTTGTTATGTACTACAGCAAGTAGATATGTATAAAATGAAATAAAAAAAAAATTTAATTTTTTGTGATTGGTAAGGATCGAACCCGCAAACCTCTTAGATCAACGACTCACGCTACTCCCACTACGATACAAGGAGGGAGGGAGGGGGGCAACGAGGGGCTTCTTTTAGTGAATATTGTCTCCGTCATTGTATTTCCAGATCTCGGGTATTAAACAACTACCGCTTACAGAGCAGAATTAACCTACAGAATTAAAAGTAAAATACTAAACTGTGATCATGGATGTTTAGAGCTGGAAAAATTTCTCCACACAGCTGCTAGCACAATACTATATTACCGACTTGGATAGTTCACATTCCAAGTACTGTACTGCTTTACCGACACCGCCCGCAGGTGTGTGTGTGTGTGTGTGTGTGTCCACCAACAGAACGATTAATGCGGGTTCCAGTTTTTGCATTCAACAGTAGTGTACTGCTCTACTGAATACAACCTTTTTGTACATCATACAGGCAGGTGGTCAATTATACTCTGTACGGTACGTAGCAAATAACCTAATGGGGGTAATTTCAACTGGGAAATTGTTTAAAAGTACCAAATTTTATATATAAACAACAATAAACACCAACCGTGAGGCTTTATAATATCGTAGTAAAAGTCATGCATTCGTACTTTGCTCAAATCTAATATATAGAAGTTTGCTCTTACTCATATGTACAGCTGCCAGTTGTTCTGTAAAAAAAGAAAAGATGACCTTCCCAAGATCTCATTGTACACTGTTCGATCTATAAAGTTTGGTTTGGCAATCAATTTTTCAGCTATTTCCAATCTTACACTCAAGTCTCTATTTCTGACTTATTCCATTTACACTCGAGTTTAGTCAAACTTAACCTCGTTCTCCATTACGAATCTTTTGTCGTCATGAGCTGACAACAAAATCACAAGAAACTAATCGAAATCTTATTTTCCTGTATGCTCCTCTTCACTGCTGTTGGACTGCACTGGGTTGAGCATACATTCAAAGTCTGCAGTTTTGACTTGTAATTACAATCTCACCAAAGTATATGTTACAAGTCTTGCATAATCCTTTTCTACTACTACAGTGTATTACGAGAAACTAATCCAAATCGTATCTTTGATACTTTTTCCTGCAAGGTTCTGTGTTTTCTATAAATAACCAATAAACAAAAGAAAGAAGCTATCCTACACTTATAAGTGTAAAGTAGTTTCCCATTCTTTTAAACACCCACAAATGATCTCAACAACCTACGTCACTACCCACATACGTCACAAGTGACGTAGGACCCCAACCACCCGCATAAAACCCAACTCTACGTCATTTCCGCCTTATGCCCTTTAAACTAATTAACTTTGTAACATCTGCTAACATCTGCCCGACAGCTGTTACGCGCGTTTCCACCAGGTCACCACTACTTATATAATAGTATAGATTATCAAATTAACAAAGGAAATATGTAAAGTCCATCTACTTCCACATTTATCGTACTTACAATACGATAAATGCAACCAAAATCATTATGTTTGTATTTTTAGTTTTATACATATTGTGGTATGTTGAAATTTTTCACTAAATAAATAAAACCTAAATTCTAATTTGTCTATTTTACCATACCCTAAAATCCACTAAAATATCTAATTTAAATACTTTCATTCAATGATACAGACCAGCAATACTGTCATTGATGTTTATAGCCTAGTACGAGTGTCGGACCCAGGCGGCGGGTGGGTGCGGCGTTGCCAGTTCGAACGTCGCGGCCTTGATTATGTACTTGAGCACCTTCATATGGGTCGCGAGGACAGTTGATGCCAAGATGTACGGAGTAAACTTTTACTCCATAGATCTTGAGTTGATGCTACCCGCATGACGGGGCATAATGTTTTTGAAATAGGTACTAGTAGCGATCGGCCAAGTGCCAGCTTAGATGTCACGAGTCGTTCGCTACGCTAACTCGACTCCAGGTTGAAGTTCGTTCGCTACGCTCACTAACCTTTTGGTTGCAAATTAGCTGTTGTCGTAAATTTAAAAAAATAATAGTGCTGCACCCTGTTGGTAAACTTATTAACTTTTTAATGCTATTGAACATCACAAAATTAAATTGTTTAGTTGAACCAGCTGTTAAGATGCTTTAATCCCATTTAAATATGAGTACTCATAAGATTAACATGGGAAACTCCAGAGCCACTGGGGCGGATCTGCACCAAACCATCCTTGAATATGGCTTAATAATGCCTGAAAGTTTTATTACAATCTGTTGAGTGGTTTCGGAGTCCATAAGGCTGGGTTTTCCTAGACGCGGAGTCGGCGAGCGGAGAGAGGAACGCGGAGAGCGGAATTGAAATTAACATGGCATTCCGCTCCGCTTCTAGGAAAACAGTAACATTAAATTGCAATAAGACAAGTGGAGTCCGCTCTCCGCGTTCCTCTCTCCGCTCGCCGACTCCGCGGCTAGGAAAACCCGGCTTAAAGGACAAACAAAAAAACAAACATACATTGGATTTTTATATATATATACTAGCTGACCCGGCGAACTTCGTATCGCCTAAGTTATAGGTTTCCCCTAAGACAGACCGATGGAAAGAAAGTACCGTTACGTTTAATTTTCAAGATGATCTCGTTCGCATCGCTCAATCACGTCCTGGTTGAAGTTCGTTTGCTACGCTCACTCACCTTTGGGTTGGAGCTCGTTCGCTACGCTCACTCACCTTTAGGTTGGAGCTCGTTCGCTGCGCTCACTTGCCTTCAGGTTAGCTCGTTCGCTACGCTAACTCGCCTCCAGGTTGAAGTTCGTTCGCTACGCTCACTTACCTTTGGGTTGGAGCTCGTTCGCTACGCTCACTCACCTTTAGGTTGGAGCTCGTTCGCTGCGCTCACTTGCCTTCAGGTTAGCTCGTTCGCTACGCTAACTCGCCTCCAGGTTGATGTTCGTTCGCTACGCTCACTCACCTTTTGGTTGCAAATTAGCTGTTGTCATAAATGTAAAAGAAATAATAGTGCTGCACCCTGTTGGTAATCCTTGTAACTTCAATGCTATTGAACATCATAGAACAGAACCAACTTGTTTAATTGAAACAGCTGTTAAGATTCATTAATTCCATTTCTCATAAGGTTAACATGGGAAACTCCAGAGCCACTGGGGCGGAGCCCTTTTAGGAATTTCGAAACGGGAAATAGTTTACGTCCGATTCGCATACCTACAGAATTTACACACCAAATTTCATAACGATCGGTGAAGTCGTTCCGGAGGAGTTTGCAGACAAACACTGTGACACGAGAATTTTATATATTAGATAGATGACGGCGTGTACCTTTTTAAAGTAAACTAAACCCTAGTAATATTAAATATATAGATATAGATCATATATCCTATTACTGATTGGAAAATTATATTGAAATAACAAGATTGTTACTGCTAGTTGATTTTGTAAAATAAACTAACCTAGGGATGCTCCACAGCCCTCGAAGTATACACTTCGATGTCCGCAGCGTGGAAATAAATATCATATCCGAGAAATAATAAAATTTATGATATTTTACTGAGTAATACTTTATCTTGAACTTAACTGATTCAAACTATCAATAGCTCAAATTAAAGCCTATAATTCACTGATTATTTTGAGCCTAAAACATATAAAAAAAAAACATAAACAAGTCTGGAGTTATTGATTTGTAATCATAGAAAAACCCTATAAAAAATAATTTTATGTTGGCTGTTTGCTTGAAACTCTCCTATTGCAATAAAGCCGGCTCAGTGAATCTGGTATTTCACTGATTGTTCCTAGACCAAAATATAATACATCTTAAAAATATTTACATATCAAATGCATCTCAAATTAAAGAAAGAATTCGAAAATAAATCAAATTTACGTTTTTGGCCAAGTAATAAAGTAGATAAATATACGCCCATGCTTGATGTGAAATCCGTGCGTGTATACCTTCAATTTGAGGCCACAATCATGAAAATCGGCCGGGTAGAAGAGCCAAACGAACTCGGAAAATAAAAACTAAATTCTTTAAATATACAGTATAAGATCAATATATTTTGTAAACATGAAACAAACAAATTAATTAAAACTATGGGTAAATTTGTTTGCTTTTGCTCTTTACTGTACGTTTACTTAAAACAGTTAGCAGATTTTGTATTCACGAAAAATTCTTATTCAATGCTTGCATAATTTATCAACAATATTACAACATCAATTACCAGCACTAGCTGCCCAAAGAATGGGTTGGCGGCCATCTTGGTCAGTGACATTGACCTCCACGCCATGAGCCAGCAGCGTTCTGAGTACGGCCAGGCCGAGGCGAGTGCTGGCTACCTCGCCGGCCGGGCCACACATCTGGGCAGCGTAGTGCAGAGGATAGCCGCCATGCATGTCAGGAGTGCTTGCCTCAGCTCCAGCGCTCAGCAATGTCTCCAGCGCCTCTACCTCACCACAAACTACAACATACAAACACAACTTTACAGTACTCGACAAAAACCATATGTTATTTCATTCTTAGTAATCCAGTAAATAGAGGTCTGTTATTTATAAATGGTCCGGTAGCTCTAATTTTTATGTGTTGTCTGGGATGGTAAGTAGGTGTTAAAAATGCAAAATGCACAATTAGTGGGGTCGTATAGCTGCATATAGTGGCAGAATATTTCAGTTCTGGCAGACAGGCTGCAATTTTAGGTGGTTATAGTATACAAGTTTCTGAACCTAAAGCCGCCCAGACCCCAATTTTTAAGGACCTCGGTCGTCCATAATGACGTCATCAAAATGGCGGTCGTAAGAGGATGCTGTGTCCCCATGAATTGGCTATAACGACCGAATGCCTGAACCGATTTTCATGAAATTTGGCACACAAGTGCTTGAATACATTACCTCGGCCTGGGTTGAAAATGGTCAAGTTTCATTAAGTCATTTCAAAATGGCGGCTGTTCAAAACTAAAAAAAATTATGAGGAAAATAATTGTGAATTGTTCTATACAGGGTGAGTTTTAAAAGAGTTCCCCCCTACTTTTTTATACATTTCTTAAGATATCAACTTTGAACCATGTCAGATCATTGTAGAGTAGCAAGTACTTCATTTTGACTGGGTTTACATTTTTGGCCGCCATCTTGGATCCGCCATTTTGGATACAAAAATATTTTTTTAAAATGTAAAGATAGAGTTGTGACCCACCGTTTCAAACAAAACCTTTACGCTGAATACGATGCTGCAATCCGTTTAAAAAAATGTTGATCCATCCTAAAGTTATGAGAACTTTTTATAACTTTATTTTTAGTCCATTATAACATTGTGCATTTACAAACTAAGGCCATAATCTCAAAATAGTGCTAGATAAAGATAAGTGGACTAGTGGACACCACCGTTCATTGTTTACCTATTTTCACTCGGTTATGACGGATGTATTTTTTTCAGCCGCCATCTTGGATCCGCCATTGTGAAATGTGATGAATTATTTTAAATATGAAGGTGGTGTTGTAACCCATCATTTTGAACTACTTTTTTATGTTGAATTCAATGCCGCAATCCGTTTTTCATTGTCATGTTTGGTTTTTGAAATATTGACATTTTAAATCAAAATAATTGTTATATTTTATCAAGAAAGCTTGATAACAAAAAACGGATAAAATAAAAACTAGTCGAAATGAAGTAATCGCTACTCTACAATTATCTGACGTGGTTCGGAGTTGATATCTCAAGAAATGTATAAAAAAAGTAGGGAGGGGAACTCATTTAAAACTCACTCTGTATAAAACAATTCACAATTATTTTCCTCATATTTTTTTTAGTTTTGAATGGACGCCATTTTGAAATGACTTGATGAAACTTGACCATTTTCAACCCAGGCCGAGATAATGTATTCAAGCACTTGTGTGCCAAATTTCATGAAAATCGGTTCAGGCATTCGGTCGTTATAGCCAATTCATGGGGACCCAGCATCCTCTTACGGCCGCCATTTTGATGACGTCATTACGGACGACCGAGGTCCTTAAAAATTGGGGTCTGGGCGGTTTTAGGTTCAGAAACTTGCATACTATAACCACCTAAAATTGCAGCCTGTCTGCCAGAACTGAAATATTTTCCTGCTACCCAACCTGACTAAATGCCTCCTCTCCCCCGCCCACCACTATATTGTAAAAATCTGAAAAAAAAGATTTTCGCCTATATCTCAGTTTTAGTTAATTTTAGCGCAAAAGAATATATAGCCAATGTTGTAGACAAATAAATTTCCTATAATCATAATCATCACATCATCAGCATATATATATATATATATATATATATATTAATACCCCCGCCGCAGCAAACCTGCAGACTAAGCGAATTACCACTTGTCTGATTACATTTTTACTAAAATTTCCAGAAATAAGACATGTTTATTCCCATTTTAAATAGCATTAGATTTAACGAGTGCTTAGGTTTGCTGCTACGGGGAAGGAAAAAAGAGTTTTTTGACCAAACGTCAATAGTATAGTATGAAATAAATAAATTTGCCAAATTTTATCAACATATATCCACAAACAAGTAAACTACAACAGTTTTCATTTTCTCCATAAGAATAACATGGGAATTTTAAATTTACACTTTTTTGAATTTTCTCCGTAACCGTTAGGCATACAACAGCGCTTCAATATATTAAATTATTTCTTTTTTAAGCTACAAAATGGTTTGGGAAAATATTCCAAAATTTTATGTTTTTTGTGTCAAAAATGGGGAAAACCCTTTTTTTACCCCATAAAACCCCCCCCCATAAACCCCCGTTTCCATGGTCCGATCATGCTGGTTCGCGAACTTGTTCGAATAAATGTATGTTAACACGTTTATACAAAATTTCATCAAAATCGGATGAATTTTGTTCGAGTTATCGTCTACACACACACACACATATATATACATAAATACATAAATATATCAATATATATATATATATATGAATTTGAATCGTATATATATATATATATATATATGAATCGTATGGTGTTTTTAGTCTCTGGGGACCTCAAATCGGTGCCGGGTCTAAGTCTTACCATGAGACCTACGGTAATAGCTCATTCCCCATATGGAAAATTCGCTAAAACGTGAGGAGGGTGAAGACCAAAAGGAAATTAACTTTATAATTACCATTCGCAGTTGCGCTGTATCATTAGTTTGAGAATTACGCCTCAATCGTAAAATAGGCCAAGTAGGACGGCTAGAAAAGGGGTGCAACAGAGTAAACCCGTATTGTATCAAGTATATAGATGAATAGATATTGTGTATTCAACTACACAACAAAAGCAATAGCCAAAGACCGTCTGCCGATATACTATTTATGATTGAAAACCCAAAAAAATAATTATTAAATTCCATTTGAATCCTACATTTCTAAAAAAATGATTTTTACCACAATTGTTTACACATTTAACTACAAACTAGACCAGAAATAAATAGGTTTAAAAATTCATTTACAATACACTTTAAATTATTTAGGGAAAAATTTAATTTTCATGCAACACAACTAATAATTTATAAAAATATATAGCTTTTCAAAATGCATGAATTGAAAAATTGTACTCGTAATTTTGAAATATTTCAATTAAAATTTATAATTTTTCTATGTCATAGAAAGCTGTAAAAACCCCAAAATCTAATGAGAAAACGACAGCTAGGAGAATATTTCGAATGAATATTGGCATCGACTATGGGTTCTGTATTACATTAACGATATGTTACTACGCTTACACCAAGATTATGCACCAAGCAAGGGTCTACCACTAGTGGTGAATCAACTAATGTTCTTCAACCTGTCAAGCTTTATATTGATGTCAGTGGCCTACTTGGACTAGACTGTTTGCTTGGTCAGATATACTTCACCCACCTGACCTCTGTTATAATGTATGCTCAATTGACTCGACCCTAGCCTTGGTGCACGCTCATGTAGCTACACACTGCGGTAAAATGTTACGGTTTACAAGTTTACTGTACAGTAAACTGTACACTATTGCATACATGTTACTTTAATACTTAGCTTCCTTTTCAAATATACAGAGTGAGGCAATGAAAGCGTCCCAATTTATAAAAAGTAAAGATTCAATGCTATTTATGTACCCTATATAGGGTGTAAAAAGGTCCCTGGACAGTTATTTAGTTTAAAAACATCAAGATGGATCCATAAAAATTGATTCAAAGTTACTGGGCATTAAAATCATTTTAAAACATTATTTCATTAGTACCAGGAGACCGAGCACTGCTCGTGGTGTTAAATTTGTAGGAGACGTTAAAAAATAAACATAGGCCTGCCTACATATGTAAAATTAATTCCCATGATATTATAAAACCCAGTCTAAAATCTATATTTAAAGTCCAAAGTACCCATGAACTTTTGAGAATACTACAAGTCACACCCCCATAAACCATCTATATATTTAATACACAGTTGTAACACTGTTTTCTCAGTAATTACTGGACCGATCTACAAGATTTATGTCTCAAATTAAAGGGGATAGTGTGTAGATTTGCCGAACTTCCTTAGAATTTACGTTTTTTCTAAGGGCTACGAGCTACAGCCCTTTAAAGGTCGAGTCAATACAATTCTTATTGAAGAATATAATACACAGTTTATAAATTATTCGTCAGTCGTTTAATGTTTGTCAGACATTTGTTATTATTTTTATAAATTATAACCTCACTTTCAGTATGCAATTATTAAACTTGGGTATTTACTCAGGGGAGGTATAGAAGAGGCTACGATGACAGCTGTGGGCTTCTTATTAGCTGAGGGAACGCCATTACCGTAACAAAACGGTCGGTAGCCATCGGCCTTGGTGGTCTAATGGTTAGCGTGCCGTGCTGATATACTGTAGGTCCCGGGTTCAAATCCTGTAGGTAGCCTTAACTTTTTGTCCAAGATTTTTTTATTATCAGCAAGTTTGGTTGGTTTGTTCGGTTATTACAGTTTAATTTTATTATTAGTCACTATAAAATTTTAATTGAGCAAATTCTAGTTTTATTTAATAAACAGAATTATTTTTCCGATTACTAAACTTTTGTTATAATATTTCTTTATCAGCAAGTTTGGTTAGTTCGGTTAGGTTATGATGGTTTAATTTTATATAAAAAAAAATAATAAAATTGAATTTGAGACATTTATAATTTTATTTTATGAACAGAGCTATTTTTGCGATTAGTAAACCTTCATTGCCAAAGTGCTCTCTTCTACAGCGCTGTTCACGGAGGAATTTTGAACTAAATGCCTCATTCGTACCTCCCCTAAGTCAGACCCTTAAACTTGGAGTTTCTGTTTACAAACACACGATTTTGATCAAGGAAAGTGTACTTGTTAACTTATTTTTGAAATGTTTTAGTTTTCCTGCAAAGTGATCTGAAGGAAAGTGGTAATTGAGTTTAAGTTTGAGTATGGAATGTGAAATAATACCCATAGTAGGGAACGGAAACTTATTATTTTCA